TCATGAAATAGCTCTTTGAATATGGTCTACTCAGGAAACTAAAGATGTCAAGATAATACTAATGTTATCAATTTTCCACGAGTCCCTAGACTTAGTCTATCATTACCTCAAACCTATATACTTTCTCATATGTTAAAATCAAAAGTTTTTTTGGAATTTTTTTTAACAACTCAATTTTAGGAGATTCAAAAAATGAATTATGCAATTATTCAAGCAACTATCCTAACAACATAAAATACACAGCAAACAAATAAAAAATAAAATTAAAAATAAGGAAATATCCCCCAAACTTAACCAAACATTTAAATCAATGTTCCAGTTAAAGTATAGGGAGGGTAAAGAGAAAACTCACAGAGAACCTCATTGAGGAGGTGGGAAGCGCAACAGAAGAGGAACGCAAAACAAAAAGAATCTATAAAATGAAACAACATAAAGGCATAAGTAATTAAAAGCATGGGTTGCCTCTCAAAAACCGCTTTGTTTAACATTTTTTTTCTCTTGATGTTCTATGAGTGCAAGAACTCATGGTGGTTCCTTAAAAGACATTCTTTTAACCGTAAGCTTAGTGGTTTTAGGAATCCATGACCACCTATCTAGCCATATCTTGTATCCACTACTTTTCTTTTCCTTCTTGCTATGGGGTGGTTCATACCTCGGAACCTGTGGGGTGATTTTATTAGATTTGTATTTATGAATTCAACCTTTTAATATTCCACCTCAAGGGTCAACCTTCCTCTCTTAACATTAACATTTTCCTCAATTTTATGGTCCTCTAACTTTCTTTTTTTTAGACAGGACCTCAGTCAATAGTAAATTGATATAAATCTTTTCTAAAATTTTCGCAAACCTTTTAGATTGGGTGCCTGCCTTAGCCTACACAAATCTTTGCAGGAAAGGAATCGGTGGCTTGTAGGGAAGAGGAGCAACATAAGGTGCTTACTTCTCCACCTCTTCGACAACCTCCTTTTCATGTGGTGTCATGAAGATCTTTCACTTCCTTTTTCATTGAGACATGTGTTTCACATTTATTGGTTTGGTTTCTAATATTAGCCATTTCATATCTTAGCATTTCATTGCAATTTTATAAAAACTCAATGTAGTCTTTAAGATCTAAGCTACGCTTTTCGATCTTATCATGTTCCTTGATTAACTTAGTATTTAATTTAAAAAGTTACTTATATGAAAGAGTTGATACCTCACAATCTTCTTCTTTGTGAGAATAATTCAAGCAAACATGTTCATCTTCTTTGCCAAAAGAAGAATCTTCAAAGATTCTACCAGAGGTTGATTCTTAAATATTTCTCCTTGATGTTGAGTTTATGAATATATAGCTTATTGAGACTTCTTTCAAAGATTCTACTGGTTTTCTTCTGAATAAGGCAGGGGTTTAGTCAGTCTATTGGGGTAGATTTATACACCATCGCTATGAATGATATTTTTATGAATGAAATTGATATGATAAAGAGTTTTATGAATGAAATTGAAAATCAATTTAGTAGTGATATGCTTGATATGTTTAAGACTTTTGTGAATGAAATTGAAAATCAATTTAACAAAAAAAATTAAAAGGTTTTGTAATGATAAGGAATTTAGTATGATTCTAGTTTATTTAAAAAATTTCATAAACATGGAATTGCATATGACACCACTGCATAATATTCTCATTAAATGAATGGAAAATCAGAAATAAAGAATAGAGCACTTATTGAACTAGTTGTTGCTATTGTGTTGAATTTTGGTGCTACATCTCATTGGAGGGTGGAAATTTTTTTTACTATTCTCTATATATTGAATAGAGTTCCCAAGTATAAAAATAAGATCTCTCATTATGATATATTGAAGAAAATACAATCAAACTTTCTTACTTTAGAACTTGGGATTGTCTGGCTTATGTCAGGAATCTGGATCTGAATCGTGTTAAACTTGTTAGTAGAGTCTATGAATGCGTATTCATTTGGGTAGGCAGTAAACAATAAGGAATATAGGTTTTTTTTTACCTAAATGCTAAAGTGATCTCATAGTTAAATGATGTTGAATTCTATAAATACAATTTTCCTTTCAAATTGAGAAATAGTGAGGGTAGTGAATTGAATCACATTCATGCGATAAGAAACGCCAAAAGCAACAACAAAGTAGAAACAAAACTTCAATGAAGTAAGATTGTAAGAATTGCTAAATATTATGGGTTCGATTATGTGGTCTATACAGTATAAGAAGATCCAATAAACCTTCAAGAAGCCTTGTCATCTATGGATGCATATTTGTGGCAAGAAGTTGTTAACAATGAGATATATTCTCTAGAATCTAACAAGACATGACACATAGTAAACTTGCCTCCTGGTTGCAAATCGATCAGTTGTAAATAGATTTTGAAAAAGAAACTAAAACCTGATGGCATTAGCAAGCTATTTAGAGAGTCATGTGATACCTTAAGAGGACCATGAATCTCGGTTTACAGTGTCAGAGATTTTTTGTTGTACTTGAAAGATACAATTATACGGATTGAAGCATCTTGTTAGAAGATTCCAAAGAAAGTATTGGCTAAATATTTAATATAGCTGGAGGAGTTTTATCTTAAAGATCAAAGAAACATGTTATCTTGGCTCAGCTTATGATGTAGTCTAAAATGATAACATTAGCGACTGCTACTGAAGAAGTAACTTGGTTAAGATGTTTTCTAGCAGAGATCCCTTTATGGAAAAAACATATGCCAATTGTGTTAATCCATTGTGATAGTATCGATGATATTGCATAAATTTAAAATCATTATTCTAATGGCTAAAGATGTCAAATAATGAGAAAGCACAACATTGTTAGAGATTGTATCTCTAAAGGAGTTGTAAGAGTAGATCATGTGTGCATTCATAAAAATTTAGCAGATCCTTTGACGAAAGGATTAATTAGAAAGAAAGTCCATAATACATTCAATAAGATGGGACTAAAGCCTAATATGAGTTGATAATGATAGTAACTAGGCCTAATAGAATGGAGATCCAAGAAATAGATTCAATAGATAATAACAAGTTGTGAGTAATATGAGGTGATCATGCTAGTATAAATAAGATAAGCTTGAATCCTGAAGCGATAAGCGGATGAGATAATATAAACTCTTAATGAGATTTATACTATGTATGAAGGAGTGCCTAGCTACATGATTACTCTTGATAGACTCACCAATGTGATTGTGGAACTTAGATCGATTCCTATGGGATTTCGAGACAGAATTTCTAGACCCTTCACTAAACTAGAATAGACGTGCAGAACCATTAAAGCACAAGTTTATTATAACACACCTTAACAAAAGGTTGTGAGCGCGTTTGATGTCTGAGATATAGTTTAGGACAACTGTGTTACCCTTGTTGAATATGAATTCTACTTGCTACGCAAGTTCAAGTCATAGACACTTTTGCTTATAAACAATCTTAGAAATGTTTGACGTTATTTCTAAAACACTTTTTTTAAATTCAAGTGAGAGATTGTTGCAATATGTAAATATTCTAATATGGAGGTGAATTTTTTTTAAAAAAATCCTAACGTTCCACATTGTTAGTAAACTTTGTGTATTTATGTGTTAATCGAGAAAACTCGAAGTCCTGCATTACTTAGATTACATAACTTTTCTAGCTTACTCCATTATATAACGAATGCATTAGTTTAATTTTAAAATACACCAAAAAACTTTTTTTGAGTTTTTCCTTCCTCTCTATATTACTCAGCATTTTTCATATTGTCGAAAAGACAACTTTACTCCATTTCTTTCTACTTGTTGAATGTTTCGAGTATTTTCTTAAATTCTCTTTAGATATTTATTATTTGAATTTCTTGTTGTTTGAGTTGAGAAATTATAAGTTTTTTTATTCTATTCCGAAAATTATTTGAGTTTCTCTTTATTTAAAAAAAATATTTTTAATAGTCAAACAATTATTACTGAATTCTTTTTGAGAATTATTTGAATTTCTCTTCGTTTAAAAAATTATAACGACTAATCTTTATACTATAAATTATTAGTGATATTTATATCATCTTCGACTGATATTTGTATCATCAAAGATCGTATTTCTAGACCGATTATCTACCTTGCAAATAATAATCGTACAATATAGAGTTAGATTTTTTTTTATTTTGAAAAAATCGTGATTAATTGACTGCTCTGTATAATTTTAACCATCCTCACCTCGATCTGATAATTTTTTTAAATCATGAAAATTATGTAATGATACCTTGCTACAATAGTAATAATGCTTTTCTTTTTTAAGGATCAACGAATTGAATGCATAAAAGTCACCCTAAAAATGGGAAAAAATCATCCTAACTCCGCCAATTTTGATGGTGATAAATGAATGATTAAATATATATGATTTAAATGGGAGAGAATAATTGTTACGGGAGATATAAAGACAATAACACTATAGAAGTGTTGGTTTGAAGTTAAAGTGGACCCCGTGTGAAGTGGGTGTGACTTTATGGTTTGCAGCCAACTAACTATAGCACTGGGGTTTCTATCAAGTAATTCATGTGGTGTGTAATGTATTGGAGAGGGCATCCCTAATAGAATGGGAGAGATTTATCAAGTAGGTTAATTCGTATGAAGTCCAATTTATTAAAGATAAATAAATAGAATATTGCAGATTTGAACTCGGATTCAATGTCTTTATGCAGCATGCACTGACTAACCCGTCCTAACATGAAAAAGAAAGAAAAAAAAGAAAAAAAAAGACAATTTTATGTTATATAATTACTTGTGTACCAATATCATATTTAAACATTTTATTATAAAGTTCATGAAAATGATCACACGTCCAATTTTTAACATTGGTGCTAATTTCTTCCTTAAAATAATGTAACAGAATCCATATTTTAGACAAAAACAAACTTAAATGACTAATCTAGTACAATTGCAAGATGAATCTTCCAAAAAATACAATGTAACATGCCAAAATTATGAACTTAAAATAGCCTTAGATTGATACATACATACATACACACAAATCATTCTTTACTCAATAACCTTGCACTCTTCTAGTCCTCACTGAAAATGGCTTCTTCTCTAAATCAATAAAAGGTGTACTCTGCATCTTCGATTCTAATACAATCTCTTCATCCACTGAATCGCCATCTGAGTTTGAACTAGAAACATCTTTTGCTTTCTCTAACTCTTCAGCATTCTTATTGGATTCTTCTCTTTCCATTGGAGACATAGCTTTCACAGAATGACCATGTCCATTCAACGGGCTTGAACTATTATCGTCGTCGTCATCATCATAATGAGGATCATGTGGTTGGAATCTTGAAAGTTCCACTGCTGCTCTAGCAGCAGCTGCAGCATATGCAGCCGACTCAAAAGCTGCTTGTGCTGCATCTGCTACATCCTTATACTTTTTCCTACCCTTAAACGAATCAGAAAGTTCATCATTTTTTCCCTCATTATCTTCTTCCTTTTTCTCAGACTTATGCTGGTTTTTCTTTTCCTCATTCGTTACGTGTTCCTGCATTTATCACAATTCACAACAACCTCCTTCATTATATACATATACATTTTTTGTTTAACAAGTGAAATAAACAATGAAATTGCACTAATTTTGTACCTCGTCTTTAGTTGAAGCAACTTCTTCAAGCTGCAAAGTAATATTATTCTCAGAAGCAATTTCTTTGAGTACCTTCATTCTACTTTCTAGACTCGGCATCCTCGTCGAAAGCTTCGTGATTATCTATAAAATATTCAAAGAACTATATAATTACAAGTATATACACTCCAGAAAAACAACATTCCTCGAATTTTTTTTTGTTATTTACACAATAATTCAGAATATATATATATAGATAATTTTAGTCATTGAAATGGCAAAAATCGGTTAATTTAATTCTTCAAAATTGACGAAATCTATACCTTAGGATGAACTTTACAATTGTTCCTCAACTCAATAGCACGTGAAGCAAACTCTTTCCCGAATCTAGAAGTAAGAATTGCACGAATCTCTTGAATCTCTGGAAAATCTCCGCACCTAGATGCCGCAAACAGTATCCCCGACGCCGCCTCTTGTAGTTCATCTGGACATTCTCTATAATAACAAAATTCATCAACACAAAATTAAATCAGTAAAAATAAAAACAATTTCAACAAATACAATCAATCGACAATGAATCGAGCAATTACCTTTCTTGTGCAATGAGATGGATCCTTTCGATCAAGAGATTCAAGTATCCTTCAATCTCATCATACACATCTATCATATTCTGCTCCTTGATTACATGCTCCACCTATACAAATTACAAATCATAAGCAACACCTACGATTACGATTAAGATGAGAGATAGACGAATAGATGTAATCAATTACTCGAAGAAGTGCGCGTTTATGATGATCAGGGAGTTGGAGAAGTTGAACAACATCAGAACGAGCTTGTCTGAGACGCGCGTTTCGCTGATTCTTGAGAACAGCGAGACGCGAGATTGCGAGGTTAACCGTTGGTTTGAATTTATCAGTTCTGAAGTTGTTTCTTCCCAACAATGCATCAAGTTTCTTACCCATATGAGTATGAATAAGAATGAAGAAGAAGAAGAAAATTCGAAAGAGAAATGAACACAGTCACAATAGAAGGTGTTAGTATATATATTAATGTAATTATAATTATTTTAATTAAGTATTAATTAATTATTAATTATTAATTATAATAGTTATAGTGGTTAGTTTACTTATGAGAGAAGGTTTGATGAAAGTGAAAGTGGTGTGATTAAATGAATATGAATATACGCGGTTGCCGTGTAAGCGTTACAAAGAGAGTTTTTTCTTTCATTTGGAAGTTGCCACCTTCCTAGAAAGGACTCACCTTTTGCAAAATCATTTCTATGCACTTTCTCATTAATTAATTGTTTTTTTTTTCTATAATTATAGAATAAACTTTTTTATTTATTTGGTGAAAGTATATTGATTTTATAAATATAAATCAAAGGTCAGAGTTTTATATGATAAAAGTCAAGAAATTTGATTGCAACGCGAATTCCAAAGAGTACTTTTTACTTTTTTTAAAAAAAATTGAGAATATCGTCGTTGAATTTTTAAGAAAAATATATTTTTTAAGGTGGCAACAAATGTACGTTGTTAGCCTTTTAAACAAATCATGTTGATATTTTAGAATTTTTCTTAAATTATTCAGTCGCAAAATCAAATCCTAAAAAGTTTATATTTTAGACTTGAGTTAAGGATGAACTAAATTTTAACCTAATAATACATTTTTAAGGATATATAAGTCTTGCATCACCATCTATTAGGGTATATACAATAATTTGATTTATTAAGGTGTTTGCAAATACATTTCTTTAATGGAAGATGAATGTAAATTTTGACTAAGAAGCATTGTTGTGACCCTAACTTTTAAATTAGAACATTAATGTCATATATGTGAAAGATTAATGGATCTTGTTTTTCTGTGACCCTAACTTTTAAATCAGAACATTGATGTTATTAGAGATGTAAATGGATATCCATGGAGGCGAATAGTATGATATCCGTGTCCGCCCCGTTGGATAAATATGATATTCGTATCTGCCCTATATCCATGCGGATATCAGTTAAGCGGATAATTCACGGATTTTAAGGTATCCGCGGATATTTACAGATATCCATGAATAACTTTTTTTGTCTAAAATTATTTTTTAAAAATATATTTTTTCGCTCTCAATTTAACAACTAAACTTCATCATATTATTTTCATTCTTTTTTCACTAAAACACAATAACATTCAAATATAATATTCATACGTTTCATTTTTAACAAAATAAAATTCATCATACCATATAATAATTGTTTAAATAAAACAAAAAGTAATAATGCAAATAGTTTTCATCAATCATTACAAAATTCCATATTATGCATTCCTTACTTAACATTCATACTTTGGTTTCCTAACTCCTAAATTAAAAGCTTAAAAGATTCCAAATAAAATATCCAAAATAACAGTGATATTTGTAACCAAATAAAATGACTAAATATGATTTTTCTTGGAATGTGAAAGGTTTTCTTTTTCTTCCAAGAAAACTTTAAAAAAAAGAAATATGAAAAGACTAAATTTCTTGGAAGATGTAATGACGTCTATAATAAATTAAAAATATTTAAATATTTTTTATAATTTATTAACGAATATGGATATCTGCGGGTACGGGTATCATTAAACCTGCATCCACATCCATTAAATAACGGATATTTAAATATCCATTTATTTTATCCATGGATATCCATTAAACTATCCGCATTATATCCGTGACGGATTATATCCGCGGACACGGGCTTTTTTGCCATCCCTAAATGTTATATGTGTGAAAGATCAATCGATCTTGTTTTTTTGTTCACAGTTATAATATATCAGAGTCAATTGTTTTTCTTCGGAGAAAAAAAAACTCATTTCTAATGCTAAACGATTAGAAATTGTCTTTCACTAAATTGGATTTTTGATATTAAAAAAAAAAGTTGTTTAGCTGCAACAAGAATATCACATAAATTTACATAAAAAATTCTCAATCCTAAGCAATCTAGACATCTATCTTTATTATCATCTATCTGCAACTCAGTTAACCAAACGTCAAGTCTTGCTCCTCTACTTGATTTTGAGTCTAACACCTTTAACCTTTCAATATATTCATCAATCTCCACTTTTGTGGTAATTTCTTCAAAATTCAGCTTGAAACCCTTGAATATATTCTTTGAATGTTTGATGGAAGAAAAAAACTCTTAACACTTTAGAGAAGACACATGTTTTTTTCTTTACAAATTTGCCTCTAGAATTTCACCACAAAATCTCTAACTAAAAACATTCAACCACACACATTAGCAATTTAATAAATTCCTCACAAAAAAGATCACATTTATTAAGTAAATTTGTTGGGGTTGTTTGAAAATATACATGTTAAAGAAATTTTACATCGCTTAGTTTTGTGAATGAAGAGAGAGTCTAATGCTATATATATATATATATATATATATATATATATATATATATATATATATATATATATATATATATATATATATATATATATATATATATATATATATATATATATATATATATATATATATATATATATATATATATATATATATATATATATATATATATATATATATATATATATATATATATATATATATATATATATATATATATATATATATATATATATATATATATATATATATATATATATATATATATATATATATATATATATATATATATATATATATATATATATATATATATATATATATATATATAGGGATGACAAATCCAGACCCGTCCGCACCCGGCTGGATCCGCCCCGAAATTAACGGAAAAAATATGATTTAATTGTTCTCTAAATTATCTCTTTGGGGCGTACATGTGATCACCTTCAGGGCCACGTGATGTAATGACCGGTTGGCCTTAACTTTTATCATATATATGTACCCTACTACAGCTTTGCCACACACCCTTATCTTGGCTTTCTAATCAAAAAGCATGTGTATCAGAAGCTTAAGATCGAGTCAACAACTTTGACTCTCTCCTCCATCTGACCAAGGCCTCCTCCCCTTAGGATAGCGCATGTGGGTCTCCTTAGGCCGTACTAATATCAACACCCCTTCTCCTTTAGGTCGTACTAATATCAACACCCCTTTTCATTTGTCTTTTTGTTCTATTACACCTCTTTATTTTTTCTTATTTCTTATTTATTTATTTAATTTATTAATTATTTTAATAATTAAATAATTAAAGATAAATAAAACTAATATGGTCAATTAATTTAAACCCTTGATCCAACGTCAAGTGGAATTTTAAAAAAAATCATTTTCTTTGATCAATTTCGAATTAACGTAAATAAAAACCTTGATCTTCATCGAGTGCATTTTTCCAAATTAAAATAAAACATCTAATCACTTTGGAACATCTTTTCACTAAGGATAAAAAAAAGGAAATGATCTAGTGACTACTATTCTTTTCCCCGATTGTTATGGTCTGAGGTGTCTAACTCGACCATTTGAGCCATCGTCATCCGCTTAAAACTCATAACTTGATTCATCTCAAACCACATTTATAACTTAAAGCTTAAGTTGTCTTATTTTCACAATAAATCGTACGAAAAAGGAAATGGTCTAGTGTCTACTATTATTTCCTTGAATACTTGGATACAAGGTGTATAGCTCGGTCATTCGAGTATTCATCGTCTATTTGAAACACCTTAACAATATCTAACCATTTTTCAATTCAAATGATGAAAAATGAATGGTATAATGTCTACTATTCTTTTCCTCGATTGTCTGGATATGAGATATCTAACTCGGTCATTCGAGTAAGCGTCATCCACTCAAAAACATGTTCAACACATCAAACCTCATTTTCTCGCCTCCGCACGATCAAAAACATTTTCGAAAATAATATTGTTTAGTTTGTCCTACCGCGGCACAAACGAACGCTTTAAGCCTCCAATCGCGAACACAAGTAACGTTTAACCGCTAGAGCGTGATCTAAACATTTTTTAGTAAAATTAAACAACTAATACATAGTTTTCTATGGAGAACTATGTTGCTTTGAATTCCTCATTGTACTTGAGGATGCGTAGGAGCGAAATCTGCAATCTCGTCAAACATCCTAATAAACACCTTTTTATGACTCCTTTTATTTTTTATTTTGCACTTTTAATCACTCGAAGAAAACAACGACATACGCTAACATTCTAATTGCAAATCTAACTAAATGATTTTCGTTGAATACAACGGATGTGAGGGGTGCTAAAAACGTTTCCTCAAATATTCGAATCCCGAACCCGAATTTGGTTGCGATGACCATTTTCTCTTTCTCTTAAGGGTTTTGTCGATATTTTCCCTTTTTCTTTGAAATAAATAAATTTTAATGGTGATTATGTTCAATCATTCCGCGAGCGCGCGATACGCTCGTAGGTCTTATTTTTCATGATGCGACACTCTTCTATAGCTTTCTTTTGTTCTTTCGCTAGGGCACTTGTGTTATGAAGGAGATCAATTAAAATATGTTATGTTTTAATTTTTTAGAAACATTTTTCACCACGGTTGTCAATAATAACCGTAGTGATATATTATACATATTACCATGGTTTTCCCGCACAATCGTGGTGAAATTATTTAGGGATTTGTCTATAAAATTGAACAAGTGCGTCATTCACCCTTTTATTAAACCTAACTCATTTTGCTTTCAACCTGCATATTCCATTCTGCAAAAGTTAATACAGTATATTGAAAAACTTGGTTCAAAGATTAATTTTAAGATTCACTTTATCAAGTAAACGATATATTTGGATCTTAACATTAATATTTAATGCCAAAATTTTCATAGTAGAGAAAAAATGAATGAAGATATTGCACAAAAAGTGTGTCTGAGATTGTAAAAATTATGTCTATAAGAACTAAACTTTGTGTTATTGTGAAAACTAAAGTCATTTAGATTGAAAAAGGGAATTCCCCATTTCATTACGGTTGGTAGAAACGATTGTGGTGAAAAGTGTTTTAATTTTAATATAAAT